CGTCCATGATGATTATTCGATTATTGCGGAGTATGGCTCGGGCTAGGCAAACCAATTGCCTTTGGCCCATGCTGAAGTTCGAGCCGCCATCTTGCATATAGCACGAGAGGCCCGCCCTCCAAGCTGGCAACGTATTTCTTCAGCTTTACATCGTCGAGAGCGTTCCAAAGCTCCTCATCGCTCTTCATACCAAATGGATCGAGATTGAAGCGCAAGGTGCCAAAGAAGAGGACTGACTCCTGTGGTATGATTGAAATACGACTGCGTAGATCGTGCAGTCCTAGTTGGGCAATGTCCTGACCATCTATCTCAATGAGCCCTTCATTGACAGCTAGCCGGACAGTGCTTGAATAATCGAGGATTTACCAGCGCCCGTGCGCCCCACAATGCCAATCTTCTCCATGGGCTGTGACTCAAAGGTTATACCTTTTAGAATTTCTATATCGTCTGGGGCATACTTCATGCGTAGATTAGAGAAGCGTAGATGACCCTTTTGTGGCCAGTCTGACGAAAGATTTATCTCCTTTGCTGTTTTCCAGTGCCGGTTCAGATGGTGTCTTTGCGTATTCCAATATACGCTCCACACTTGTCATCTATTCTCCAGCTCTGCTGTCTGCCTCATACCCCATTGACACATTATCACCAGTGTCATGATTGGGTGATAGCCAAGCCAACATCACCGCTGTAGAAGGTCTGATTGATAACCAGGAAACTGAATGTCGCAGCCAGTATGTAAACAACACAATGAGATCCGTCCAAAAGGAAAAGGCACGATTGGCGCTCGTATAGAGAAAAAGTGCTGAAGAGTTCGTATTCTGATGGCCATGGAAAGTGTGCTCCAATTGTGGCATAGCATCCAACGCTCGTATAGTAGTCAAGCCTTGAAATGTTTGATTGGCATGCGTGTAAACAGGACTACGAGCTAGCAATGAAAAATGACTGTTAGTAAGAATTATGCTTACTCATTGACTTACTTAAGCTCTCAATGCGTTTCAGACTGCGACTGGCACCTATGTAAAATGAACGGCAAAAGTACATCAAAATGGCCATAATAGCTGCTGGAATGAGTAGCCAATAGTTGGCGATTGCCACGATGACTAAGACAGCCACCACATCCACAAAGAACTGTAGTAGATGATAAATTATAATATAAGTTACCTTAATTATAGATTGATTTACCTGCAAAGAGTCCATCATAGCCTGGGGCAAGGCCACATCCACGCTCTCAATATCACTAGAGAAGCGATTGAGCACTCGACCCGAGGGATTGGCATTAAAGAAGAACATGCGAGCCCGTATAATCCCAACGAAGAGCAAATTATGCAATCGTAGTGAAATACGTAAACATAACAGAAAGAAGCCAAAGGTGCGCAACAAATAGAGAGCCAAGGTGCACAGTAGAGGACCGCGTACCAGGTCACCATTCGAGCGCGTGTCTTTTCGAATTGCTCTGTTGTTTCATACACTCGATTCTCCTCCCAGGTAGCCCAGCGAGAAATAAAGATGTCCAATAACTGCTTCGCAGACTCGAGCGACAACAAAGAGCGCGAGCACCAAGAAAACTAAAGTGGGCGCGCCCAGAGCACGGAAATAATCCATATACGTATCGTAGCTAACAGCTCCTTTTTGCTGACGCTCTGCGAAGGCACTCTCCTTATTAGATTGACCATCCACAGTCTTTGTAGGATCCTGAAAAAGCTTAGAGTTTCTGTCCACTTGGCTAAGCACCCTCTTTACCAGCTGCTTGTCAGCCTCGATGGCATCCAAATCTGGAGCTGCATGCTTCTCAATAACGTCTCGCAAGTCGCGTAGCTGCCTTGTTGTGTTAGTCGTCCGGACTCGAAGAGCAGCAAGTGGTCCACATCTGCAGCAACTGCACATGATGGGTCACAATATGCGCAGCTTGTCTCCTAAGAATCGATTAAAGCACTTGTCCATTAGCAGTTTGCCCACTCGTGAGTCTCTACCGCAGCTAGAGGATCATCGAACAAATATATATCTGCCTTGCGATATACAGCCCGGGCCAGACTTATCCTGCCTTCTGTCCACCACTTAAACTGATGCCCCGTTCACCGACTACAGTGGCATCCCCATGTGGCAGCAGAGCTAGATCACAGTCTAGCTGGCAGGCGTGCACCACAGCTCGATAGCGCTGCTCAATGTATGGTTCCACAAAGAGTATATTTTCACGTATACTGGCTTGGAAGATCCAGGGCTCCTGTGGGGCATAGCTCAACTTGCCGTGCACTTCGATGCGACCCTGCATGAGCTCTACTTCGCCTAAGATCACATTTAAGAGCGTACTCTTGCCAGAGCCCACGTTGCCCACAATGCCCACCAATTGTGTTGGAAGAAGCTTAAAGCTGATGTCTTCAATATGCGCACGTCTTGCCTGCAGAACGCTTGGCTTATTCCAGCTTGCGCTCACGTGGCTAAAAGTGAGAGACTTTTCCAGGCTCTCTATGCAGTGCAGACGACCCACAGGAAGAGACTTTGCAGGTGTCTTGGTTAAGTCCAATTGCAATGTGGGATTATCTCTGCAGTGGGAGGAGCACTCTTCGCTCGTGGGCGATTCAGTTGTTGTAGGAACTGCGTCACGCGCCTTGCACTGACCACTGTCTGTGCCCAGGTGGTAATGGCCAAGGGCCAAAAGTGCTGCAGGGAATCATTCAGCAAACTGTAGTAAGACGAGAGTATAAACACTTTTCTTGACGTAACCACATCACCTGTATACACATAAGCAATGAGACTCAGGAACAGGGACACCTTCGATATCATATTGGTGCACTGCAACGCAGCGTATATGCTCATGGAACCTCGGATTGCTTTAATCTCCATCTTTCGCACGTTGGCTATCAATTTGCAAAAGATTGCTCCCACGCATACATTTTGATCACCTGTATCGCACCTATAATCTCATTCATCAGCTTTACACGGCGATCCCGTTGTTCCGCAGAACTAGTGCGAAATTTGGCTGCAGCCTTGGCAGCCCACGCTTGAAGTGGAATCAGCAGCGCAATGAAGGCAATTCCTATTAATGACGTCCAGCCAATCTTAGTGTACATAATGTAGCCAAAAATACACGCCTCCACGGGTCCTTTCCACAAATCATGAAAGAAATAGAAACACAGATCGAACTGCGGCAAATCGATTGACATCACTGATATGGCCAAAGCGCCAAGTCCATCTCTGCCATTGATCGCTGCACGTAAACACTTTCTATATATCAGTCCAGCAAAGGCTACGCGAATCCTTGTGCCCACGGCAAACACGAAAAACATAAATGGGTGAAATATCAGTGAAGTCACCAGTGCACACAGCACAATGCCCGTGGCGTAGAGATAGGCGCTGTCCTTGCTAATACTCGTTTGCCCTTCAGCAAAGTATGATATTAAACCACCCAAAAATAGGGGCTGCAAGGCGCTGTAATGAATTATATTAGAGTATGAGAATCACTCACACAGAGTGCTTTAGAGGTTCAGGGAATCGCATACTAAAGTACTTATATTGAAACGCACTAAGATTCCGCATATTCAAGTTGTTTATATGATTATACTTACTGTATAACGATCTCCAGGATTGAGTAGATCACGCAAGCAGGCACAAACTGCCAGCCGTAATGAGCGAAGATCAGATGCAACGAACTTGGTTGCTTGCGTTGAGATTCGCGTATCCATGGCTGTTGCAAATCCTCCGTCAATTTCTCACTATCGAAGCAGGGTAAATTTGCATATAGATCGCTTTCCGATAGCTCCTCTCGCCTCCCTTGCCAAAATAAATGGCGCATCCACCTAAATTATTAAAGTAACAATCAGCCTTAAGTTGACTATTGATTGGAACTACGTGCTGCTATGCAGACAATATTCTACGGATCTCTCGAATTACCAATAAATGATAAAACAAAAGCTAACGCATAAGGAATATTTTGTCGAATACCTTATCGGGACAGCCTAGACTTACGGAGCTTAAATGGCTTTTATTTCTCAATCAATATTAAATCAAGAATGAACCGAACTTATTTAATTTTTTTATATGAGATTCTATATTATTTATTAATTATTATAAGAAACGATTTATATTATTACATCATTTATTGATGATATTATTATACAGCTCAGTGATATTATTGAAATTCACTTAATATTATTTTGAAAATATTTTTCTTTTGTATTGCTTAACGTATTATTTTATCATGTTTTTATAATTGTTAATTTATTTCATTTTGTTATTTTTAAGATTTATTGTATTATTAAACTCACAGAAAAAACCATTTTGAGAATATGTTAGCCTTTTGATAGGGATTTGTTTGGCGTTTACGATTTGATGGAGTATTCATAGCGCCGCCATTCACAAAAATTTACAAACTCTATCGTCTATGGCAGACGATTTTCAAATGCGCCCCATAGCACCCTTTCATGCCGTTTTATAGCTAATTTCTGTGTTTGTTTGAAGTGCTTGATTAAGTCGTCATCAAAACATACTTTAAAATATTTTGCACTAGGCACAACACAAACGATTGATAAGAAGCAATGGAGGCTAGTTGGGCCAATGAGACTGGGCTCTGATATTATTTGGCTAATAGATGTTGTTAAATGCGTAATCAATGGGGTAATAGTATAGGAAAATGTCGGCCATTTGTGTGTGTCATACATTAAATGCAGATTGCAGCTAAATTATAAATATACATACATATACAAGAGAGACTTATAAATCTTTGGAGCTTTGACTAATTCGGCATTGTCTCTTAATGATAAATCCTGATTAGCTTTAATTTGGCTAGCAGGGGCAACGTTCTACGACAGTTCTTCGAGGTTGCACAATCTAATCAAGAAGCGACTTAAGATTCTAATTTCATTATAAATTTCGTCACAGATAAGTTGACTATACGATAAATATAGTTGAGAAACATTCTTTAGTCGAACGCTAAAGCTTTAATAACACAAGTACGAGCAGAAGGCAATAAATACAAACAAAGACACAAACATTGGAATGAACCACTCAATAAGACAGACAGGCTAATGGGTTCGACAATACGTTAAAATTTCTATAATGACCTATGAGAGTTTTAAGGCAGGCTATGGAGCTCCTCCAGTGTATAAAGCTGATCAGTGCGATTGTAGACATCCTGCATATACCGTAACATATTAGGCAGCCTTTGAACGGCGTTCGAGACATTCGCATCGCTGCAGACACGCTTGAAGAGCTCACCGCGCGTGGGTATTGCAAACATTGCAACTTGAGCACCTTTTCGAATAAGGAAGGGTGTGCTTGGCTAGGGTATCATTGTAAGCTGATTTGCAGATATGGTGCGCCTTTTCCTCATCTGCCACGTCTTGCAGACGGTGTAGAAACTCGTACACAAACTCTGCAAGAAATGAAATTAGATAAGATAAGAATCTGTTATCTATTTGACAGAGTACTACCTAAGCCACGATGCAGACGCAATAAGGTGCGACTGCCCGACACGTAGCCTTTCTGTCGCAGCAGGCTGGCTTCTTTCTCATACAACAGCATAGTTTTAATACTATCGAAGTGTTTGTTATCTTCGTTGTCCTGCTGTCGCAGATTGTACAGTATATCCAGTTTGTTGCGCACGTCACTGCTTACAAAAGTAAACACGCTGCCCATCAGTAGGAAGAACCTGATTCAGCAAAACTTGTTAATTTGTTTACAAGTGTTTTCCATTCTAATTACATATCTCTCCTCATACGCTTCCAAATAGTCTTCCATCCGGACATCATCATC